AATTTGAAAAATATATACTTAATATTTTTTTGAAACATAAGATATGCAAGATATCTTAAAAGATCTTATGTAACTAATATATTTTTTAACCATGAATAAAAATAATATACATTTTATGAAATAAAAAATTTGATTGATAACATTTTTTCTTTAAAAACTTATAAGAAAAAATCATTTTCAGAAACGAAAAAGGAAGGAAATAAATTTCAACTAATATTACCTCTTTTACTAACTGATTTTAGATAAAAATGATAATAAATTTAATTTTGGTAAGCACTTAATTAATTTAAACTAAATTTTAAAATATTAAAATAGCATTACTTTGAAAGATATTCTGGTCATCTCTTAAAACAGATCTCTTAATCGGGTCTTGGAATTAAATCTTATTTTCGAATATCTAAAAGATTTAATAGGTATTATAATTTTTAATTAAGGAAATAGTTTAGGTGAAAAATCTCAGTTTTTTTATGTTTTTCATTAATATTTCGTACATTATTAAACTTAAAACATTTAATTTACCTTATTTCAAGTAGATTAAAGATTAAATTTTATATTAAAATTGTTTACAATTACAATATTTATCATATTTTCTTTTTTTGTTAACATTTTAGCAGATTAGTTTATCATATACTTTTGCCAATAGTTAAATTTTATTCATAAGGTATTCATAAATAGATTATCCAAATTTATGAAATTGTTATATATCACTTATGTTATCTTTCAACCGATATACAATTTTTGTAAATTATATTAAAAGATTGCATTTTCTTATACACCATTGAGGTAATGTCCGTGATTGATAAATTTAACGGTTTTAGAGAAAATATAATATATACGTACTTATATTAAAACCAGACCTAATTACTATTGTATATATTATTTACTTTCTATACAGTTAAAATATACAAATCAACACGCGATTTAACTCTATAGAATTAAAATTAAAATATACAAGACTATTATGTTTATCCTATACTATTGAATACCAAATATTAATACAAATCCAATTATATCTTTAGTTTAAAAACATCATCCGTGCGAAAGCACGGGCCATCCTCTAGTGGACGAATATAATTTAAATTAATATAAGCTATATTTACAACATTTTTCTTTCTAGTTTATAACTCTTACGAGGAAATTACAATTCGCATCAAAATATTTAGTAAACTATTTTTCAAACCATTCCGGGAATTGGATTTTACATATCATTAGTGGATCACTAAGGGGCTTTACCGATAGTTATTTTATTGGGCCGATGAATGACCCATTTAATTTATCAGTCGCCCAGTCCCTAAAAACCAGAAAATTTGGATTCTAGTTCAATTAATCCCTGTCGCGTGGCCAAATTGCTTAAACCCTAAGAGCAGCCTCCTCCTCCTTCTTCCTCTGTCTGGCCCTATAGAGAAATGGAGGAAGAGCTTCGTGTTCGGCTCAATGAGCATCACCAGGTGTCGAAGGTATTCCCAGTGAAACCAAAATCAACGGCTAAACCTGTTTCCGAGTCGGAGACTCCGGAATCCAGATACTGGTCCTCCTTCAAACCTCACTCCATACCTAATCTCGTCTCCTCCATCTCCGCCTTGGCTTTCTCTCCTGTCCACCCTCACTCCTTGGCCGTCGCTCACTCCGCCAGCGTCTCCCTCTTTTCCTCTCTTTCTCTTTCCTCCTCCCGCCGTTTCTCCTTCCGTGATGTTGTCTCCTCCGTCTGTTTCCGTTCCGACGGCGCTCTTTTCGCCGCTTGCGATCTCTCCGGTGTTGTCCAGGTATTCGACATCAAGGAACGCATGGCTCTCCGTAGCCTCCGCTCCCACACCGCCCCCGCCCGATTCGTCAAGTATCCCTTTCAGGACAAACTTCACTTGGTTTCCGGAGGCGACGATGGAGTCGTCAAGTACTGGGATGTCGCCGGATCAACCGTCATCTCAGATCTGTTAGGCCACAAGGACTATGTCCGCTGCGGTGATTGCTCCCCCGTCAACGATTCAATGTTCATTACTGGCTCTTACGATCACACTGTCAAGGTGTGGGACGCCAGAGTGGACAAGTCCAAATGGATCGCCGAGATCAACCATGGACTCCCTGTGGAGGACGTCGTGTACCTGCCTTCCGGTGGAATGATCGCAACCGCCGGCGGGAACAGCGTCAAGGTTTGGGACTTGATCGGAGGCGGGAAGATGGTTTGCTCCATGGAGAGTCACAACAAGACCGTCACCTCTCTCTGCGTGGGGAGAATGGATTCGGCTGAGACTCGACTTGTGAGCGTTGCCTTGGACGGATACATGAAAGTGTTTGACTACGGGAGAGCGAAGGTGACTTACTCTATGAGGTTTCCAGCTCCTCTCATGTCTCTTTGCCTTTCCCCGGATGGTTCCACCCGGGTGATCGGAGGGTCTAACGGCGTTGTGTTTGCCGGCAAGAAAAAACTCAGAGATGCGGGGGAGAAGAAGAGTTTGAGTCTTTGGAGTGTGAGGAGCGAAGTGGACGAGAGTAGGAGAAGGGCACTGAGGCCGACGTATTTCAGGTACTTCCAGAGAGGGCAGAGCGAGAAGCCATCCAAAGAGGATTACTTTGTCAAGCAGAAGAAAGGATTGAAGCTTGCGAGACACGATAAGCTGTTGAAGAAGTTCAGGCACAAGGAGGCTCTGGTCTCCGTGTTGGAGGAGAAGAAACCGGCAAATGTGGTGGCAGTGATGGAGGAATTAGTGGCAAGGAGGAAGCTGATGAAGTGCGTGTCGAATATGGAAGAAGGCGAGTTGGGAATGCTGCTAGGTTTCTTGCAGAGGTACTGCACTGTCCAGAGGTATTCTGGATTGTTGATGGGATTGACAAAGAAGGTTTTGGAGACGAGAGCTGAGGACATCAAGGGTAAAAACGAGTTTAAAGGGCTTCTCAGGAACTTGAAGAGGGAGGTTAACCAGGAGATTAGGATACAACAGTCTCTTCTAGAGATTCAGGGTGTTATTGCTCCTTTGATGAGAATTGCTGGGAGAAGTTGATTAATCTATGCAAGTTTTGTTTGTTTTTCTACATTTGATGCTTTCAACGTTTTTCTCCTAATGATAATTTCTTGGTAATCTAAACTTGAAATGATGGATTTATGTAACAAAGAGCAGTTTTGTTTTGTTCCTCGACTGTATCAACTAAATACAAACTTTAAAATACATAAATTATTATGTCCACAAACACATATTCGATTGATAGCTTCACCCGTCAGTGTCCCTTGGACCGCTCACCCCTGAGCGCTTTCCGTCGTGCAGCCGATCTAATTGTCTCGATCAGAGGAGCGTCCTCGTCTAGCTTATCTTCTCTGTCTGACCCGCCACTTATAGACTCATCCTCATCACTTCCGCTTTGCTCATCAAACAGTCTCTTTCGCTCTGTTTCCTGACGCTTTCTTGGCCGTCCCCTGCGTCTTCCAGTTGCTGCTTCCTTGTCGTCTGTGAAAAATCGGATCATCATAAGTCAACACTAAGTTTGCAGACATATACATCTTACTCATCTACCGGCTTTGATTAAATCAATCAGATCTTGAGCAAGTGCACATTACATACCTTGTAAATCCTCGGTTTTCAAGCATTTCTCCTCCAAGCTTTCCAAGACGGAGAAGCAAGGACGCCATCCACTGGGATCTTCGTCTGTATTAACATGCATTATACGCCCTTGAACGTCCCTCTTACTGTTTAGCAAGCAAACAAGAGCACATTTAAAGTTATTTATTAGCAGACAACTTCCTACTTCCTCAGAGTCATCAGTCTTACATGTCAACGATGTCAGGCACTGAGAGTCTTGTTGCAAACGGAAGTATAGCAACTTCCAGAAACAACAGTTGCTTTGGGGCGTCCCTAAAAGCAAACTCAACACCTTCCTTTACCACACTCAAAATCTCCAATCTGTATTTGTTGCGAGCAGCACCGATATACATTCCTGAAAGCCCACCTGCAAGCTCCCGGCACACTTCAAGACATTTCTCTACTTTGGATTCTTCACCGCCACTAGAAAGTTCAGTTGCATACCGTTGATAGGCCTGCCGAATTACATAGTGTCAGCAATTTGTTAAGACTACAGAACTTCGCATTTTCGGGAAAATAATAGTTGACCATTGTATCATCTTTTTCAAAAGCTTACTCTTTTCAAGGATTCCAAATAGATATTAGAGATGTCATCTTCTTTTTTCCTTAAGCATGTTATAAGATTCTTTATGATGCCTGTTACAGAAGGTCCGTGCATACCAAGATGCGATATTATCTCCGGTCCAAGATAATCCTGCAACAGAAAATAATCCATTAAAAACAATTGTATGTGAACATCAATCACTACATCGCAGATGTTGGAACATAATTAAGATATTACAAGTGTGCATTTGACATAACTAAGACATCACAGCAGCAATGTAAATGCACTTGGTGAGTACCTTCGGCACTACATCACTAATAACCAACTTGCAGGCACCTATGGCTGCAACATCTCTGTTTGTCTCTTCAACATACTCCTTATTCTCATCCTCCTCATCTGTCTCATCTGTGTTAAAGTCCGGCAAAGATAAATATGTAATTTGGAAAATCAAGAAATGACTGGGCTTTGTTGAAAAGCAAAACAAAGAGTCACCTGAGGTGTTCAAAATTTCTGCACAGAGTTTCCAAAATTTCTCAAGCAAGACACTGTCAGGACAGTATCCTAACCTTTCAAGTTTACTTGAGTCAAAATTTGACTTTCTAAATAAACACCATTCTTCACTGAGTATTGCACAAATCTGCAGGATTGAAGGTTCATTTTCACTCCTTTATAACACAAACACATGTACGGAATGAAATGCGTAAGTTACGTTGGAATGTCAAATCGTCTTACCCTGAGAGATAACTGATTACCATATTTCCTAGATTCCTCAATTCCATTCAGGAAGTACAAAATCTCCTCAAACAGGGTATCGCGCTTTGATATAAGGGAAGATAAGGAAGCTTCGGAGATAGCTTCACAATTTATGATGGAGTGCAGAGACCACGTCACATACATATGCATATTCAGAAGCAGGAAACAGATAACCTAAGAAACCATGAGCAACTATTCCATTAATATATGAGAGAGACAAAAAAAGATAATAAGAGCTCTAAAACCAACTTTTTTAGCACCTCTTCGTTCAAATTTCTGAAATTATGGAGAGTCAAAGCAATCTCATCGTACATGTTCTCAACAAGTACAGGCTTTAACAATTGAACCTCATACAACCTTTTCAGATTTACAAGGAGGGAGTATTCATCATTTCCATCCTGCACAGAAGACAGATGTAAAAATGTCATCTATAAAGATGAGTATGAGATGGCAAAGGAAGTAAAGCGTACCTTGACTTCTGTAATTGCCGAAGTAAGTTTATCTAAAAGCTCATCTTCAAGATCTTTAAGCTTCCCACGGGAAAAATCTTGAAGCTCCCCTTTACTTTCTGACGCACAAAATGTTATAGCCTTGATGCAAGATCTTAGTGCTTCCTTATCCCCGTGTTTGAAAAAAGCATCCTTTATGAGTCTGACGGCAGCCTTAAAACTCTGACATGGGAAAAAAATGCAATTTTCACTAAGAAAGGTGAATAACAAGGAAAAATAGCATCCTTTTAGAAACGAAATGGTTTTGGCCACCTGCTCCTGTCTTTTAAGAGAATAGAGCTCAAGTTTCATAAACATAATAATCTCGACCAAAGATGACACTTTTGCTTTATCAGCCATGAATTTACGTAGAAGCTGTGGATAATTCTTCATCATGGCCACCGTTATCTCTTTCCTATTGTTTTCGAACATTTCCTGTTATTCAAAGTGTTGAACATCAACGTCATTATCTTCATAATTGAAAGGGAAACGAGTGTATAAAAAAGCACAAATGAAATACAGAGCGTTATAAGATCATTCAAATGTGTTTTGTCCTTTCTAGTTTAGTTCAAGAGAAAACAAATAAATAACTAATCTATGTACTGATGCTTCTGCAACGTCATATCATCAGAACAACAGGAAGATTTTCGCAGAAAGAGGAAAGACATAATCTTACTCGCTGAGCTTTACTGTGATACTGCTTTCGATTATCTGTTGAAGGAATTATCTTCTCCCCGACAGCCTTTCTGATTGACGCAAACAGAAGCCTGATCAAGTTCGGCGAGTCCTCGTCAGTAGTAGACCCAGTCCGAAAATTCTGATCCAAAAGCATAGAGATAATACACTTCCAGTCCTGTAAGAAAAGCAGCATCATGAAGCTGATATAAAAACTGTAGAAGGTACACATTAAAACTATATAATGAACATGCAATAGAGAACAGTAATTTCTCTTAGACTGTACCTTCATGGCCTTCATGTACTCCCAAACATCATCAACAACATAAACGCATAGAATTGGATCCGTGGAGAACTCCCGTAATATTTGTAACATTCTGAAGATATGGATCTCAGAGGAAGAATCATCATGACCTGAAAAATGATGTAATAACTCTGAACCTAGTTTTTAAGAGTTAAAAAAACTCTAGCGCCAAGGACTTGGACTATCTCAGGGGAAAACCTGTAAGACTGGATGGAGAGCTATTAAACTTCTGTGCTATTAAGTGGTCATACACTAACTCTCCTATTGCACGTCTGATTTCCTGAGGTTGATCAATAAGCAAATCATACAAAGGGCCTAGGTCATCCTCAGGTATCAGCTGGTGTCTGCGCAACACAAAAAACTCAAGTTTACTCATGGCATTTCAACATATTTGTGGTGAAGCTTTGGTGGGGAAAATTACCTTAGCAGTTGCTTTACAAGCCCTATAGCACAAACAGCTGCAGACATATCAACATCATCAGCCATCTCGATCATTCGATTGTAAAATCTCTCAGTGAATAGACCAAGCGTGGGGACGTTTTCATCCATCTCATAGAGTTTTCGCAATGCCAAGAGAGAAGCTTTTCTCACTCCAGCATTCTTTGGATAATTCAATAAACACAGAGAAGATCAATGACTATTACGAATATATATATATAATCTTGAAGAGGGGGGAAAGGAGCTTACTTTGTCATTAAGCGTCCATCCAAGATATTTTAAGTACAAATCTTGTAAGAAAAGAGAAGGATAAGACGAAATCCAAATGCCCAGAGACTGAATGCATGACATCCGAATATCGTTATCAATGTCTCGATATCGGTGTACAAACAACCTTCAATATAAGATGTAACAATCTGTCAGCAATACTAGCATAAAAGAACTATCCATTTATTTGGCTGACAGCATAATCGTTATTCAATCTTACCCAGTAAAAATCTTTCGCATCATGTCCTCCAGTGTAGTTATCTGTTCATGAGTAACAGACAACCTTTTGTTGAGGGAATCCACACGAGGCCCGTCAGTTCTTTTCTTGCTTTCAGCATTCAATTGTCTTTGGGTGGTCTCTCGCTGTGAACCAAGTGTGTTTGCTACGAAAATGAAAGTTGTGACTAGTTGGAGGCCCATTAGCGTGGCAGTTTGACGGTAAACTCTAGGTGGAGTACTGCAATTTAAAGAAGAAGAAAAACGACAATCATCAATAGGTCTATGAACCACACAGTAACAACATAAATTTGTTAATGTTGACCACAAACCATGACAGTGCGATAATGTAGTCCATGCACTTGTCAAACAAGACTTTATCAAACAATGGTCCATCCTGGCACTCGATTATCAAATTATTCCAGAATGACACAAGATTTTCTTTGAAATTCTTGAGTTCCTTCTTTCTCGAACTCTGATAATCTTCTAGTTCCCCCTATAGGCCAACCGCAATCAAAAGAATATATTGAAAATATCTTATAAAGCAAAGTGTAATTGAAATAGTGAAAAGGGAGCAATCCTTTACCGCTCTAGCAAGATTAACAAGGGCAACAACGACATCATCGACATCAGTCTCATCAAGCAGTTCTTCCTTGATGGAGTATTTAGCACCGCAAGCCTAGAAAATCCATGCACATAGAAGCTATTAAGAAGGAGGTACTCGGGTAAAGATATGGTTAAACTTATGGTTCAGTCAGCAATTGACAGATGCCTGGATCTAGCAGACTGATTTATAACAGTAGCATCAGGGAAAAGTAGAAAAACGATAACAAGTTGACTACCTCAAAGAGCATTGACAAGAGCTCAGTGGTTGCAAGTCTGGGAGAGTCTTCATATCTTTCAACCCAAATCTTCACGGCTTTAGGGATAAGATCCCCGTTTCCTTTGACAACCTCTGTTGAAAAAAGTAAGGCAAACTAAGAGCACACGATCTAGCCAAACAAGATGAAGCTCTCGAAAATTCAATGAAAATCATTTTCACCAATGATATGATTACATGCTCCAATTCGATAGAACTAGGCCCAGATCTCGAACAAACGAACACCGCTTAGAGCAAATTAGGGACAGGTTAAGAAGTTTACCAATGAGATTCTGCTGAGGAGGAAGGGTGCGACTACGCTTGGGCTTGGGACGGGTATCCTGGGAATCGTCGTCAGGTGAAGCATCCTGGTCGCTGGCCTCACTGACGCTCCGCTTCTGATTCCCTCCGCCGCTTCCGTCAGGCATGCCGGTATCTTCACCACCGCCGCTGTCGTCATCCTGATCCCGATCTCTACTCCTTTTCTACACACGCCCCGAAGAAAAACTTGGAAATCCGAAATTCCCAAACTAAAAGAAAGGGAGAGGCAAAAATTAGACAAGGAAAAGAGAGACTCACATGAGCTTGAGGAGTGTCTTCCATGGTGTTGCAGAGACGAGCCAGAAAGATCCCCTAGCTAGGGTTTGCTCAAACTTTGGACAAGAAAAAAAACCTCTCCCGCCAATTGACTTTACTGAGTGACGACGACGACGACGGTAAAATGATTGGGCTACTATTCCCAATTTCTCAGCTTCCCTTTTAACATTTCTACTACATCAGTACCCGTCCTACCGCACATATTTATATTTTATATTTTATACGTCATTTTATATTTTAAATCAATGTTTTAATATGTTATATTTAAAATCAAAGTTTTAATATATTTTATATTAAAATAAAACAATGTATTTTCGTTTTATAATTTAATTAAATTGAATAAAGGAGTATTTAACATATATATATAGTTTGATTATTATTAATTTATTCTTCAAAACCTATATTTATAATGATATTTAAATGTAATTAAATATCATTAATGATGTTTATTTTATAATGTACTTTTTTTAAATAAATAAGAGATTTTTGCTTGCAGTTGTATTCATCCAAATTAAAATTAGATGGAGAATTTTGGTAGTTTATATGTAAAATTTATTTGGTTGTTTATTTTTCTCAGTGAATTGTTTTGGTGAACTAATTTTTTCTCAAAATGTAAAACAAAAATTTGCGCCCATCAAATAAAAAAAGGCGCTAATAATATATGATTAAGGAAAATGATATCATTATCAACAAGAGGAAAACCCATCGTGGGCGAGGTAGAGAGAGCATAGAGCCATGACCGAAATTGAGGGAGTCCCCGAATTTTTACTTTTGACGGGCCGGGCCGAATACCATTACTGGTTTAATTGAATTGAAAATAAATTTTGGAGAAAGCTTAATAATCTAAACATTATAAAATAGTTTCTATCCTTTTTATAACCACCAAGATGTTTACTTGTATCTCAGTTCTCAGGCTAAGCAAACGATTGTAGTGGTACGCATTTCTGTATACACATCGACGAATTTAACGATTACATAGAAGCAAAGACTTCGATAATCTATTATTATTAAAAAACAAAAACATCCCTTACACCAAACAGTTTCCAATTAACAAGATCAAACAGTTAAAAAATATATATTAAAAAGCCGTTTCTTTTTTCTTCTTTTTTCTTTTTCTTTTAGAAAGGGAGCCATAACATTTTATATTAATAAACCAAAATTCGAACGCAAAAGAGAAGTGCATAAGCAAAACCTGTGGAGGAAGAACAACACTCGGAGGCTGCCTGTAAAATTTAGTCCGACTCTACAAATATCTGCAGTAAATTTGCCAACAACAACCATACGGCATAATCGATGTCAAGTTTTAACTCAAGTGTGGGACTTGAAACACAGAAAGAAAGGAAACAAGTACACTGACCTCCATCTCTGGTACAAGTTCGTAGGTTTTCTTCTCTCTCGTGTCCAACGCTGTGATCCCAGCGATTTTCTGGACTCCCAGTTTGGAGGCAATAAGATTCTGCAAATATACCGATAAGGTTTTACGTTCTAAGAAAGGATGAGAGCATTTTAGAGGTGGTCAGTTGGTCATACCAATTGGAAATCATTGGAGCCAAATGCCTCGATCCTAGGTAACATCTGCACGAGTTTCAATGGCGTCAGTTCCCAGTATAATTAAAGCGTTATTGTGATGAAGCAGCTTAGCCATTGCAAAATTTTGGTGCCATACGCATTGCATATCCAAAACGTGATACACAATTCTGCCACCGTGTATGTGTACGCAAAGTTCTAACTACATGGTTTTACTATTCTGCCATCGTGTATGCTTGCTTAGTTGTGGTGACCTTAAGATTCACAATAGCAAACCAGAAATTTCAGATATTTTACCAGAGCCTGGAGACCATTGATACCAACCGGCTTCTCCATTTGTGATTCATCTTGTGACAGTGAGACCTCAAATGGTCCCAGTTGCCTATCAGTTTGGTTTGTGAGATTCAAGTAAGCCTACAAAGAATAGTATACACTAAGTTTAAATCCAATGTAAATTCGCTTCAATATTTGGTTATCACAAACTTTGGAGAGAACAAACAGTTGTATTACCAGAAAGGGTCTATTCAAGTGTATAACAGCTGGAACCTCTACGACTCGCATATTAATCTCTTTACGGCTGACTGGCTGAAAGAACAGAAAATAGGAGTCGTTACAATGAAGGAAGTTTGTTACACGATGAGGTAGCATCCAATATGAAGCATACAAAGACATGCAGAAATTTTATACTAAGCTAGCTTTTGTCAGATATAAAATGCAAGGTAGTAAATATAATACTGCTAAATAAAGATATTAGTGCAACCTGAGCTTTCCTAAATTGTTCTAACTGCCACCAAATCTAAAGACTAGCTCGACCATACAGATACCCCGCATTAGCTTCTCCAGTTTGTCTGTTTACTTTGGACTATTGATTATATATGTATTAGTGTCAGAATAAAATGGCTGCAATATCTCAAACCGAGGAGCAAACAATCAAGACATCCACATCATGTTTTCACAGAGTAGAAATCATAAACTTACAGCACCAAGAATTTGTTGTGTTTGTAAGCGACCGGGTTCACCCAAATTTGTGCGCCATGTTATTTGAAATTTACCAAGGATATTACTTCCCTGGAATTTTGTTGGACCGGAAACATCTGCAGATGGGTTTAACTTATAGAGATAGTTGTGGATACCCCCACCAGAACGGATAATTACTGGCGATTTATGTATCAGTGCACTGAGATCACTGATACACAGAGAGATGGAACAGCAAATTAGGACATTTAGATAGATTAAGTGGCTTATGATGCACATAAGGATTCTGGGAAAATCTGACATACCTGGTAGGAGGATCTTCTGCTGAATGGCAATCTTCATTTTGTAATCTTACAGCAGTCCATTGCTTGGCAGGTTCAAAATCAACTTGGTCCATAAAGAGGTTTGCTTTCGTATGGTTCTCAATGCAAGCCTCTAAAAATGTCGTCTCCTGGTATAAAAGATACCACGATTGCCCAACATCAGCAACACATGAGATCGTATACAATAGGAAAAATTCAGGTATTGTGGTCTACAGTAATATTATGATTAATAAGGAATAGAACCGAAGTGGTTCAAGTACATAATGGGTGTTTCTTTCAAGGGATCGCTGAAGAATACAAGTCAATAAAAGGGATCTGAATTCAGTGAAGAAAAAGAGGAAAAACTAAAGATTCTCGAATTTACCTTTACAACTCGAACCTGCATAACAGAAAGAGCAACAGTTAGACAAACCCGAAGAGAGGAATCAAGCAATCGAAAAAGAAAAGGCTCATTAGGTAAGTGACCAGTAATATATTACCTTGGTCCTCACAGAGAGTGGGTTAGCGACGACAAACTTGAAGAACTGGGGAAGATATTTACGCTCACCATCAGCATCATTGTACAAAGCAGAGCAGACCAACCTAAAAGAGGAATTGCGGTCATGGCCATGGAGAAATAGAAAGGAAAAGATAAGAAAGAGAGAAGGAACCAACGTATGAGCTCCAAGCTCTTTCACATCATGCTCCACAATGAAATCATAGCGTCCGGCAGTCCGTATGGATTCCACAGGAGACTTGGATGTGTCCAGAAGTAGAATCCTCTGCCTCTCTGTCTGAATTTCTGCCTACAGGACATGGGAGATACATATGAGTGAAATATATAACTGATCTGTATGCAGGTGAGGAACCTTAATTACTTAGTGGCACAGATCGCAAAACAGAAGGAAAAAGGAAAACAAAGAAAATGCAGAGCAGGTGAGGAACCTTAATGGTAACATCCCGAACTTCGGAAGTGGAACTATTGTTGACGCTGATATAGCTACAAAATGTTTCCCCGAGATAGATCGCTCTGCGCAACAACAGAATCCGAATCAGACACATGATCAAATCAAATCAAATCACTCAATCAATCGAGAGAGAGAGAGAGAGGGCGAACCCGAAGGACTGAGGAAGGAGCAGAAGACCAGAGAGACCGGTGGGATCGGTGGGATGGTTAAGGAGGAATCTATTGCGGTAACTGAGATCGGAGTCGAGGGAGTCGGCGGAGGAGACGAGGCGGCGGAACAAGGAGGCGGATGAGGGATCGTCGGAGAAATCCTCGCCGGCGAGAAGATCGAAAGGGTCGATACGGAGGGGAGGGTCGACGTGGAAAGAAGGTTTGCAGAGTCGCATCACCCGGAAGGCCAGCGAGTGCGGTCCCTGCGTCTGCGTCTGCGTCGCGCTCATTCTTTTTTCTTTTTTTCGTTGTCTATTTTACCCCTTTTGCCTTTGTATTAAAAAAAAAAAGTATGTGGCTAAATGGGCCGGTATCTATGAGACCCAATATATTATTGGCCCATGAGAGTCGTCGAGTGAGCTAAATAAACCCCAACCAACTAGCATTCATCAATTGAATATCTTCTTGTCCAGCTTCCATGAATAAGGTTAAAATCACTGGTATTATTATTATTATATTTACAAATTGAATTAACAAGCATCTTCTTGTTGGCGAGTCCAATGCATTTTGTACGCCGGTCATTTTTATAACAAAAAACTATTAGAGCAATTTTAACGGGTTATCCGTTCGGGCCTTATTGCAATTTTTAATTGGATTATAATCCAAACAGTTGTTTTGTAAGACCCATCCGTATCCTGGGTAGGACTCTTTTCTGGGCGAGTCTTATGCCACGTGTCCGCGTCTGATTCGTTACAATATTTGGGTAAAGAAAATGTTTTTTCTTTTGTCGAAGAAAACAAAATCCCCAAATCATCTTCTTCTTTTTCTCTCTCGTTTGTTTTCGTTTCGAAATCCGTCGATTAGGTCATTTTTTTTGTTTATCTTCTGGTGTTAATGGTGCTTGATTTTGATCGCTGCTTGTTGAATCAGATCGCTTTTGTTTGATTTTTGCGTTTCTTTTTCCTTTCTTTCTTGTCTGTTTCGTTTTGAGCGCTGGGAACTTTGATTGTTCTTCGCTGATTGATGATCAATCTATTGATTTAGTTGTTTTGTTTTGGATTAGTATTATCCGATTTTTCGATTCTATTTGGGGTTTTCCGATTTGATAGCTTAGTACATGTTACAGTAGTTGGGTGATTCGAGTGTTTGATTTGTGTAAATCAAGAAATCGAGGATGGATCTGTGTTCTTCGTGTTTCTCTGATACATTCAGCCTCTCACGTTGTTAGATTGTTGCTTAAGATGGTTATAGGGTTGCATTAGAACAGTGAATAATCGTGGATTGGAGAATAATCATTATGATATTTCTAGAAGTTTCTTATGTTTTATATGATTGGATTCGAATGGAACTTATAAGGATTTGTTGTTTCTATGTCCTCTGGTGGTTAATTTGTTCATTAGTGAGAAGAATTTATATGGCCTGTTTTGAGTTTGGTATATGATTGAATGACTCTCCTTTTGTTTGCAAGTTTTAGTGGACATTCGATATGGTTGATAACAAGGATGAAGGAAGCGCCAAGGGCTATGCTTTCCCTCTCAGGAACCCTAATGTTACCCTGAATGAGAGAAATTTTGCAGCCTTCACTCACCGCCAAGCTGCTGCTCATCCTTGGAATGACTTGGAGATTGGTACGTTAATCTTGTGATACATGAAATCTTGTAACATGTATCCTTGTCTTTATAGCCGTGTGATGTGAGTCAAAGCCATTCATGTCGCTGTGATCAATCATGTTTGTGTGGATGACTAAACGTTCATTCTTTGATGTGAGTGTTTGTTTATTGAATCTTTCTAGTGTCATCAAATCATGTAAACAGACTGATCAAGTTACTTCTCATGGCAGGAGTATAACTATGGAGAAGAGTTTGTTCTTCTAGTTACTTTTGCTAAGAACGCTTCCACCAAGAACATCAAAGATGCAATTGATTCTTTTGCACAGCTAGCTTCATCTCTTCCATCATTAATTGTCCAGTCCACACAAGGTACCTATGAAAAATGAAGAGGATCTTGTAGTCGAGGCAAAAGATAAATGTTGTGGCAAAAGAAATGCTTGATAAGAACATGTTTATATTTGGAGCTACTTATATTTGATAAGAAATGCTTAAATTTTTTTTTGTGAAGGTTTATAAACTTTTTGTTCATTTCATAAAATGTTTTGTATTTCATTTTTATGTTTGAATCTTTATAAGTTTCTGTTTTTAATTTATATGTTCCTATCTTTTATGTTTCTAATTTTTATCGAAATTTTTAAATATATGTTATAAATAATATTTACTTGTATTATCTTTTTCTTTTTATTTTCTAATATGTTTTATGTTAATTTATATAAGTTTTCAATTTTTAAATTATTCAATTAGTTTTAAATATTATTAATATGTTTAACAATATTTTATTATTATAAATATAAAAACCTAAAAGTTCAAGCAATACTTGCATATTTTTGTTTGGTTCTTAAAACACACTATTACATTATTAATATACTATAATTACCCTAAGATGCAACCTTGGGGTTATCCCTTTGCTCATGCTCTTAGTATACCACACTATAAAATACATATTTTAAAACTACAATAAAGGGGAGAAATTACTTTACTTTATTTTTATTATTGGTGGTCAATAAAAAAGATAAATATATAGTAAAAACTACCAATCTCTTTTTCTTCTTTTGCTTTGTTGAATTTTTTATTTTGGGGAATCGATGTTAATTTTGAACCAAAGAAAGAAAGAAAGAAAAAAAAAAAAAAAGGAGAATGGTTTTGTTATATTTAAATTGATGGGGGTGAGCATTAGTATTTTGTAATTTAGTAGAAATTAGTTCCTACAATTAGTATTTACTATATAGTAATTTAGTACTCCAGTAGTTATATTAGTGTACAAAACGAGTGCCGTTCTCTCTATACCACAGTTTGATTAGAGCCCCTCGATACAATATATTTGATACTATCTGAACCCATTTCTTTAGATGTACGATTAAAAATTTGATCATAATATTGATACACACGAAGATAAATAGAAAATATCTAATTTCTCTCTTTTTTTTTCCTCTGAACGTTTAGATAGGGATATTGAGTGTTTTATGATGAAATTTGGATAAAGTAAGTAACTGGGAACATGATGACAAAAAAAAAAAAAGGTAATTAGGTAATTGGGAACTATAAACTTTCTGAAAAGTGAACAGTTTTTCTGGATATAAACTTATATAGCTAGTCTTAAGTTGATGATGAAATTTCTATATATGTATATGGACTAAAAATTAAGTTAATAGCTAGGGGGGTAGATATATGAGATACGTACAATTCAGATATATAGATGTGCATAAATAAAAGCGAAAAAGAAACCGAGACAAAGAACATTAAGCGAGAGATGTTAATATGTTTTGCAGCTCGATCTGTTGGCTGTTGCTGTTGCTGAGACCAAAAAAGAAAAAAAGGAAAAAGAAGAAGACATGCATGTAGATGATTAAAATTTAAGATGCGAGACAAGCTTCCCAGAACATTCGACTTTGATCCATCTCACTGATGACCACCGCAACAGAGCCAGAAACAAGAGCGGGGTTTTCACGTTGGCCTCTTATGTAGCTATTCACCTCTCCTTCATCTCCGTCGTCGTCGTCGTCGTCGTCAACTTCTTCATCTCCGGAGTCTATTTCTTCCTTCACCGTATCCTGTAATAAAAATAGGTCAAATTCTAACCGACATGGTCTCTGACTCGCCCACGTTACACAAGAGGTCTCGCAAGAACTGGCCTCGCTACGATTAGAGGACTGATCACCATCGATATTGTAATCCTTAGGGGGCCATTGAACGGCGTCGTCGGGGACAGCTTCGGAATCTGCAGATGCTTCTAAGAGCAAGAACGGTGACACATCAAACACGTTTTTCGTTGAGATGTAATTCATCTTTCTTTCTCTAATTTCTCTTTTTTATATATATATATATATTTTCCTGTCTTTTGTACTAAAATATGCAAGAGAATTTCAAACTATTAATATATGGAAGGAAACAAAAAAAGTGGCCATTATAATTGACGACAATATAGAAATGATTATGTGTTTTTGGTAGTAGGAGGAGCACTTAAATGTAATAGAGATGGCGAATCATTGGTTCAAGAAGACGGGAGTTTTTTTTTTTTTTTTTGTATGCGAAATGACGTGCGAGCGAGCCTGTGGGGCTTCTAGAAGGACGGTGTGTAGTACTGTGTATGTGTATAGATAATAAACAAGCAACAACAATTCTTCTAGAAAGACATAAGTCCAAGTGTCAACAAATTTAGACTTTTCTTCTGTTTTGTCAGCCTCTCTCTCTCATTCAACATAACCTAAAATGTTATAAATTAAAACAAAAACATGTATATATATATATATATATATATATAAGCGCAAAATGGTCATGATTTTGGTGCTACGGAGAGGAAAAATGAAAACGAAGTAGCTTTCGTAAGTAATACTAGAAGTCTAGAAGAAATGTGTGTGGGGTTTAATCAAAAATTAGTAAATCCCTTTACGCAATTAAACATGATCATTCAAAATGAATCACCTAACGAATTTGACCCACAGGAACGATCAAGTTGCGGAGGTTAATTAAAAAAAAATTATAAAAGAGAACCAAAGAAAAAAGAAACATAGGAGGGGAAAGTGTAGTAGTTGGTTGCCGAAGCCCAAAGATCGTGAAACGGGCAGGTCCATATAATAAAACAAAAATAGGCCCAGAAAATGGCTACAAGCAAGCAATGGGGAGGAGGCGCCAACCAAAGACTCTCTTTATCTCTCAGAGACTCTCTCACTTAAACAGAGTAGATTACAGGAGGAGGAGGAACTACTGACTTCAGTACTGAGTCTGAGTGGAATGAACGATTTAAAAAAAAAAAAAAAAAAAGTGGATAAGAAAAAGAAATCTGAAAAACAAAGACAAAGGGCCTCTCTCTCGCGTCATCTCATCCCAGAGAGACTAGTGACTAGTCTAGGCGGGCGCCGATATGGCCGTATCCTTAGCAAACTGCTGCTTCTCCCTCCTCAATGCCTCCGTTAAACTTCAGTCCTCCTCCCTCTCTCCCCCTTCCTATTTCGTTGCCGCATCGCAGTCCCCTCGACCTTCCAATCGGAAATCCTCGAGGTCTGATTCGTTCAATCCTGAGGTACCCATCCCTTTATACTTGCAACATTTATCTTCTTTTTTTTTTGTATAGTATGTGTTGTGTTGTTACATCCTAATCTTACAGAGCCAGAGGAAGAATCATCCTGGTGGTATAGTTCGCGATGAGATTCTGCACGGCGGTGCTCCTCATCAAACTATGGCATTCAAGGCCTTTGGTTCCCCCAAAAAGGATAAAAAAGATGCTCCTCTTTCTCGCGACCAACAGGTAATCCATTCTTCTTCTTTGCTTTTTTTTATTTCCTACTCGTCCCCCTCTCTCTCTCTCTCTCTCTCTCTCTCTCTCTCTCTCTCTCTGTGCTTTTTTTTTTATTTTAATTTTTATTTCCCCTAAGCAGACTGATCCTGCCAAGATTCACGATGCATCCTTTCTCAATGCCGTTGTCAAGGTTTCAAATTTCACATCCCTTTTAACTTTTCTGCTTGCTTCTGAGTTATCATCATTCTTTGAACCCGCCCTCCTTTCCAGGTTTATTGCACTCATACTGCCCCTGATTACTCCCTCCCATGGCAGAAGCAACGACAATTTACTAGCACTGGCAGGCATGTTTTCTTGACTTCATCCCTTATCCCCCTTTTTGGTTTGTTCCATTTGTTCATCTCTTCTTCTCTTGCAGTGCTTTTATGATCGGAGATGGCAAGCTCTTGACCAATGCTCACTGTGTCGAGCATGACACCCAGGTTTACTTTCCTTCTCCCACCTTTTTTTTTTCTTCTTATTGTTCCATTCTCATTTTTGATAGACATTACTTTTGATCAGGTTAAAGTTAAGAGAAGGGGAGATGACAGAAAGTATGTGGCTAAGGTTAGTTCTGCATTTTCCTCTATCTGCTTGAGATCTCTATGCAGTTGAAGATAACTCCTCCCTTTCCTCTACACTCCCCAGGTTTTAGTTAGAGGTGTGGACTGTGATATAGCTTTGCTCTCAGTTGAAAGCGAGGATTTCTGGAAAGGGGCTGAACCTCTACGCCTTGGCCATTTACCCCGCCTTCAGGTATCTTTTTCTTAGTCTTCTCTCTTTTCTTCGAGTTTACTTCCCTTCAAATGTTTAAGGAACACATTTGACGCCCTAGATTTAGGCATCAACAAATAAACAACCAGATCTTTTACTGTCGAATAATACTACAGAATGGGTGTGCAATATAGGAAATAAAGTCAGTTTGTGCTCTTATTGAAGCCTCCGCCTAAATACGTTATACATTGCTCCATTCTTCTTTTCCTGTAATAATATATAAAAGGGTTAAGATGTTCCTCCCTGTTTTATAGTTCTAATTATATATCTGGACAGAGCTATTGTTCATAGAGTTTCCATGATGGCTTTGATTTGCAGGATTCTGTAACTGTCGTGGGATATCCTCTTGGAGGAGATACAATCTCTGTTACAAAAGGGGTTGTATCACGTATAGAGGTTTCCCGATATCTTTGGCTTTGCTTTTATGCCATTCTTTTTGTGTTGACGACATTAAGAACTTTTCCTCGTTGAAAATGTTGGGAATGGCAGGTAACATCATATGCTCATGGATCATCCGACTTGCTTGGAATTCAAATCGACGCTGCAATAAATCCAGGTCAGTGGATCCTTTCTTTTGTTCCTAGTATCTTGCACTTTTTTCAAAAACTCGCATATGACTTGTGTGATTTTCGCTAAAATTGTTTCTGAGAACCTTCATCAGTATTATTGTGATAGCCACTTCTTATAATTGTTAGATTGTAGGGAATAGTGGTGGCCCTGCATTCAATGACCAGGGGGAGTGTATTGGAGTAGCATTTCAGGTATTTGCGTTGGGATTTTCAGGAATATATTAACTGTTTTTGTTATTCTATCCAAACGTATGCCTCACCAGAGATTTCCTCTAGGTTTACAGATCCGAAGAAACTGAAAATATTGGTTATGTGATTCCAACAACAGTTGTTTCTCACTTTTTGACTGACTATGAGAGGAACGGAAAGTACACGGGTAATAGTTTTCTCTCGACGTTCATATGTTGTACTGCAAGAACACTATCTTCTAATTGAGCCTTTCTTTTGTTAATATTTAAAGAAATTTCTCTTGCAGGTTACCCTTGCCTTGGAGTATTGCTGCAAAAATTGGAGAATCCAGCTCTGCGGGAGTGCCTCAAAGTTCCTACGAATGAGGTAGCTTGCTTTATTAATTCCCCTGTCTTCTGTAAGAAAAAAGATTTTTCGAACATAGTGGTGGAGGATATTGAGTCTTCCTTCTTAGCAGTTTGAGTCTACTCTAGGTGATGTAACCTTAATTGTGTAGGGGGTGCTGGTGCGAAGAGTTGAGCCTACATCTGATGCAAGTAAAGTCCTGAAAGAGGTAAAGAGCATGGATCATAGGATCGTTGCTCTACTGAATTTCTACAATCAAATCTTCTCGTCTTTGATTTCTGGTATTAATATTAATTGTTATATCAGGGAGATGTGATTGTAAGTTTTGATGATCTACACGTGGGATGTGAAGGAACTGTACCCTTCCGATCCAGTGAACGCATAGCATTCCGTTATCTCATCAGTCAAAAGTAACTACTTCTTCTTGTCCACGGATGTATTAACTTCCTCTACTTATTCTCATACCTGCCTTTTATTTCACTGATCAGATTTGCAGGTGATATCGCTGAGCTTGGTATCATTAGAGCAGGAGAACATAAGAAAGTTCAAGTAGCTCTAAGGCCACGAGTCCACCTGGTACAATTCCTCTTACAATTTTATAAGCATTTTGCGCTTCATGCCTAGTAAGCTTATTACCAATACTTGAATGCCTTTTGTGCTTTTAAATAGGTACCTTACCATATTGATGGAGGGCAGCCATCATACATTATAGTTGCTGGTTTGGTGTTTACTCCGCTCTCAGAACCCTTGATAGAGTATGTTGTCCTCAGCCTGCTAAGATGCAAAAGTAAATTGAAATTTTCTAATTATTTCCCAAATGTGTAACTGCTTTCTCCTTTTTCTTTTTTTAATGTATCAACAGGGAGGAGTGCGAGGACACCATAGGAGTAAGCTCACTCTACTAAACCTTAACTGTTAATTTAATTTATAAATACACAGTTCTTGCGTTCTCAGCTTGAGTTTGTTCCTTCCAATTTGTAGTTGAAATTATTAACAAAGGCGCGCTACTCCGTGGCAAGGTTCAGAGGAGAACAAATCGTCATCCTATCACAGGTAAGCCCTCAGAGAATAATGAGTTCTTAATTCCATATGCATATTGGTGCGTGCAACAATACTTAAATATTCACTCACTCGACAAGTATATCTGTAGGTCTTGGCAAATGAAGTAAACATCGGCTATGAGGACATGAATAACCAGCAGGTCCTAAAGTTCAATGGAATTCCTATAAGAAACATCCATCATTTGGCACACCTCATTGACATGTGCAAAGATAAATATCTAGTTTTTGAGTTCGAAGACAACTACGTCGCTGTTTTGGAGAGAGAAGCTTCAAATTCTGCTTCCTTGTGCATCCTTAAAGATTATGGAATTCCCTCAGAAAGATCTGCGGATCTGCTCGAGCCATATGTAGATCCGATAGATGACAACCAAGCTCTAGACCAAGGTATTGGAGACAGTCCTGTGTCAAATCTGGAAATCGGCTTTGATGGACTGGTGTGGGCATAAATTGTTAAAAAAAGGCGTCCGCATATGGAAACCACTGAAAGCTCACACAGCTTCCCAGAACATATGGGAAAGCTCTCAGCTTCATCCTCGTTCATAAATTCGTGAGGTGTTCCAAGTATAGTGAATTCTTTCTTCTTTCTTCAATCCTCTAGGGATTGAGTTTAATAGAAAGTTGGCCATAAGAATGCTCAGCCATTGTGTTCAGATGAGTGTACTGACCAAAGTCAACAAATGATTCAACATCCGATTTTGATGATAGATGAAATGCAGCAATGTCTACTGTAATATTTTCCAGTGAATCATTGCTTCCGGTTTTTACCACTTGCATTGTCTTCATTAAGTAACAATAAACCTAAGATTGTTGCAGATGAGGAAAAAGCATAACAAGTTAAAGCTGGCACTCACTTCTATATACTAATCAGGAAAAGAGCTTCACGGGAGTCTACTCTGTTTTGTTTTTTAATTACTTGCTTTGTTTATTCACAGAACAAAACATACAAACACTCCGACACAAATCAAAACCCGACAAATCCATATTTCATGTGCTCTGCCCTAAACCAGAGGTCCACAACCAAACCCACCAATCTTGTCTTTTACCACCTCTATAGCTGTATACCTTTTTCTTCTTCAGTGTGTCATCCTTTTTTTCTTTTACCTCTCACAAAAACATAGTCAGAGAAGCAGAGAGACACACAACACATTCACAGTAACCATGGCCGTCTCTCTGTTAGTAGCCTTCACCATTCTATCACTCTGTTTACACACTTCAACATCTGAGTTCCTACAGTTTCAGCTCTCCACCATATCAGCTGCACCTTCGTATTTGCCTGAAGCTCCATCGAGTTTCTCAGCTTCTCCTCCGGCCATGTCTCCAGATGTGTCTCCTCTGTTCCCTACTCCAGGTTCAAGCGAGATGTCTCCATCCCCGGCAGAAGCTTCTATAATGCCGACAATCCCTTCAAGCCTTAGTCCACCAAACCCAGATGCTGTCTCACCTGATCCTCTGCTCGAACTTTCTCCAGTTGGATCCCCTCTCCCTGCTTCTTCCTCAATTAGTTTGGCCTCATCACCAGTCTCCTCTCTGCTTCTTGTCTTCCTCATGTTGCTACTAGCTTTCTGCAGTTGCTAGGTAATCATATAGAAACAGCAAGTAAGCAAGCCCTCTCGACAATGGCCCTATTCTTCTTACTTACCTTAGCTTACCTGCTCTCTGCTTCTTCTGAATTTTTCATGTAATACTAATATAGCTTATATTGTTCGGGTGTGAGATTTGCTCGTAAAGCACTAGGCATTTTGTGCTGGTGCAGTTGTCGTACTTTGTAACAGTGATATACTGTATGTGTGTTTGTGCCTCAAAGTCAAATTATGCATCCCTCACTCACATCACATGTCGCTGTCTGAAAATGGATTCACGTGATTGAAGAAATGAGAAAACATGCATTAAGCAGGATATATAATATAATTTACACGATGATCTCGTCTCGGTCCATTAATACAGCAGGAAAGGACTAGGACAGATCTTTTAAACCTTAATAGACAGAGGAAATTGAAACGAGATAGAGAGACAAGCTAAGTTAAGCTCATGAGGTAGATGAATGAGCCAACTAAACGACCTTGTTGTTGGCATCGCACATGGTGTAAAACAGCTTCCCGAAGAAATTGACATGGGAAACAGTGGGCTTCTTGAGAGAGTGGAGGCCAAGGAGTCTCTTGAGCCTTGAGTTCTCGTCTTTGAGCGCCTCCAGAGTTAGAGAAAGCTGTCTAATGACCTCTCTCTTCTCTTCGTCCTTGGACAGAAGCTGCTTCCGCAGAGCATCACTCTCGTGGATCAGCTTCAACGTTTCTTGGTCGAATTTGCTAGAGGAGTCGTGTTCCTCATGATCGGGGTCTTCAATCTCAGAATCGGCATCTTCAAACTCAAAGAGAGAGTTGCTGTCAGAAACGGATTCTTGGGGAAGCTTAGAGGAGCGAGAGGGGTGGTCGGAAGAACGCAAGTGATCGAATCGCTCGGCTAAGGAACGGTGGGATCGATAGAAGTCTTCGACAAAGCTGACAAGCTCAGGACGTTTCTTGTAGTAAGCCTCAGCACGCTGGGCGAAAGAGTCAGCGTTTCCTTCGATGAGCATCAGCATCGACTTTGTCTTGGCGTCGAGCTCTGCAAAACCAATTATATGTTATGTTCACATATATTACAAACAGCCAACAGAGAGGCTCTATGAACGGATCTGACAAGAGAAAAGTTACCAGAGAGTGTTGAGTGAAGCCATTGAGAATGCTTGGAGCTCTTGGGATGACTCTCGAACCACCACCACTTCGATTTCTCCTCCTCTCTCACCATTTTTTCTCCTGCAGCGATAGAGACCGCTAGAAAGAGATTGGGAAAACTCAACTCTATTAAAAGTGTGGAGAGATTTGTTTTTCGAATTTTGAATCTCTTCTTCGCTTCCCTTGAATTTTGTTTATTTTTTTTCCTAAATTTTTTACGGCTATTAATACATCTTAGCCAATGAATATACGCCACGTATGCAACCAATCAATATCTTTGAGGCCTTGTTCAATAAAAGCCCAATGTTTAGGCCCAGGCAATGTAAATGTAATGGTGTGTGTAATTAGGAGGACAAGTGGGAGTGATCGATCAAGTCGAAGAGCTGATCGCCGATGCCGAAGCCGAGCATCCTGGCCATGTCGCTGGTCTTCAACCTGGGCTTGGGGACACCGTGCCGTTTCAGCCAAGGATAAACGACAAACACTTTGTTCATGACGAAGAGCTCCAACGCCTCGGGGTTGAAAACGACGCCCATTCTCAAGCTCATCTGGTGCGGGACAAGCATGGCGGCATATCGAGCAAGTTCTCCAGCTCGCCAGTCCAGAAGAAGGGGAAGCCAAGGGTACATGGCGTCGAGCCTCACGAACCACAGTCTTATGTCCGGGTACTCTGACAGCTCCCGCGGATCCCCGGGGTCTTCTCTTTTGTACTTGATCGTGAATCCGATGCTTCGATCCAAATACTCTTTTGGTTCAGCTTTAATATTTGTTTTTTTTTTTTTTTTTTTTTTTTTGTATACACCAAACAAACAAACAAACAAACAACCAAACAGAGGCTCAGTGCCGTGACATCAATACTAAATTATAATGTATGCAAATAAAGGGGTTAATCACCTACCTAGAGAAGGTGATGTTATGCCGGTGGCTGTCTGAAACGGGGACAGGTCAAGCCGCGCAATGGAGTCGTTGTCGATCACAACCTCGTAGCGCCCGGTCTTGGGAGGCATGGGAGGTTCCACTTTATCAGAAGGATCTGCTCCCTTAATTTGTACAAAAAATATTAAAAATTAATAGAGCTATTATATATAAAACGGTAACAGCAAAGAGAGAGAGAGTAGGGCACCGTCATCGTGATCGAAGGCAGAGATATTGAAATTGCCAGAAGGATTGAAGGCGACGGAGACTGCTAAGTCTTGTGCTCTCCTCTTCTTGGTCTCAAAGGGAACAAGGGCTACTACTGGGAGCAGGGAGGAGACGTGTCTCGGCGATGCCGATGGGAAAACCCAAGGGAGAAGAGCCGCCTTTGTTGTTGCCATTCACAGAGGCGAGGCTTACCGCTTACCAACCAACCAACCAACCGAGTATCTCTCCTTCTATCCTTTTTTCTATCTTCATGTTTTGGCCTTTTCTGCATTATTTGATAACGCACAAAAAATTATGTAAATGTAATTGTACTTTTATACTCTTTTATATAATAAGATAAACTGCATGACTCTTGCAACTAGTAAAGCAGATATACTGGAAAGACTCCTTTATTCCTCCATACTCTCAAATCTAATTCAGCACCTCCCTCCTCTTTTGCCCTTTCTTTTATCTACCATCATCTTCTAACTGTCCATCCAGAATAACAATTTCAAGAGTTGTATTTGTATCCCATGTCAGTAGAATTTTAATATTCTGAAATTAAAAACTTGCATAGAGAGTCTTGTTACAATTTAGGATTGAGACCCACTTGAACGTAATTATCATTGTTTCAGCCCATATTGGGGGATATATGATTCTTTTACAGCCCAATAAAGTTTTAGAGATTTTTGTTGTTGTAAACGTATTTTGGATTCATTGACCAAATCACAATACAGTTGGTCCAAAATTCCTTTTTATTTATTTTAATCCAAAAAAGGAAGATCTCTCTCTCTCACTCACTCATCATCATCTTAATTAAAAACAAAGTAAAAAACGTTAAAAATAGCTTTAGGACTCTTCAAAGCGGCGAAAGTGCGGTGATCGCGGCGACATCAACAACAACAAAATACAATACAATACACTACTACGCTGCTATTACAAGGCTATTTTTTTTTGTTTGCTTTTGACAAATTCCCCTAATAATAATTACACTATTTGTTTTACATTGCGTAATAAGAGGGGGATGTATAAATAAATAAACGGAGCTTCCATTAAACCAATTTTTCCCTTTTTTAAAAAAGTTATTTTGTAATTCTTATCTTCATATATATTTTTAACAAAATTTAGTCAGTTACTTACCATTATTACTCTTTCAAATGAATAATTCAACATTTCCAGATAAATTAAATACATAAAGCCATCACCTTTGTGCTCTTCTTTATATGTATTAGTTAATTAATTTCAGTTATAATATAAAAGCATACTCTACTTTCGTAATTCAATGATTCATTTATTCATGTCGCAGCGCATAATCTATTTCTTTCTATAATTTCATTTACTAATAAGTTTTCCTTTTTATAGTAATTTTAAGAATGTAAAGATAAACTCGATCGGGTGAATACAAACACTACTTGACCTCATCATAATTCATACTCAAAAAAGGAATAATGTATTTATTAGCAACCCAGTTTAGTGTTAAGTTGTTTAGGAGATTAAAAAAATTAAGAAATGAGAAAAGGAAGCGAGGAGATTGGATAACACAGAGACACATCCACTCCCTCCCGTCGTCAATGACCAAACCCTAAATTCTATTTCCTCTGCCCGCTTCTTCTTCTTCTTGTGAAAGCCATTTGCTTTCGAGCCTCTCGATGCCCGAATCTGGGACCTCGGTACTGCTCCCGAGCTCCACCCTCTCTCTCTCTTGCTTCTCAATCTGCCGTGCACTATCCGTATTTTCGTTGCGGGAGAAGCCATTGATGTGAAGCTTAGATAACTTGTTAATCCTTTTGTGTTTCTCTCCCTTCCATAGCCGCTGGGGGTAATTTAGGTATTTATTTTTATTCTCCGGATCGGATCTTGACATCTTGTCCAAGCTTGTGCCCTCCCCACTCTGGGTTGGTTGGTCTCTACTCTTGATTTGAATGTTGTTAGAAGAGTTTTTCTTTTTGTTTTTCTCGTTGACATTAGGTGTGGAAAAAACAGATCTTTCGAGACGTTCTGGCCTTGAGATGAGATCTCCTAATGTGGGTTTATTAGGGTTCTTGAAAAGTCAGCAACTTTGAATATTAAATCCGTTAACAGAGACTGCGTTAATAATAGCTAGAAATCCAGAGCCATGTCGTTCAAGAGTCTAATTCAGGACATGAGAGGAGAGCTGGGGAGTATTTCTAGAAAGGGATTCGATGTCAGATTCGGCTATGGGAGATCCAGGTCTCAACGTGTTGTTCAGGATACTTCTGTTCCTATTGATGCTTTCAAGCAGAGCTGCTGGGCTAGTATGCCTCCGGAGCTTCTCAGGGATGTCCTCATGAGGATTGAGCTTTCCGAAGATACTTGGCCCTCTCGGAAGAATGTTGTTTCTTGCGCAGGTGTCTGCAGGAACTGGCGAGAGATCGTCAAGGAGATCGTCAAGGTTCCTGAGGTTTCTTCCAAATTGACTTTTCCCATCTCCCTGAAACAGGTGAAGTATCCCTCTCTTCACACTTTCCTGACTTTTCTACTTCTTCTGACTAGTCTTTTCTGATTCTCCTTTTTAGCCTGGTCCAAGAGGATCACTTGTTCAATGCTATATTATGAGAAACCGCAGCAATCAAACTTACTATCTATACCTCGGGTTAAACCAAGGTGAAAGAATGAAAACATATGCTTTTTCTTTTCTCTTTGCATACCTGATATCTTTGTTAATAACAGCCAAGACATTGCTTTTTCTGGTTCAGCAGCAGCTTCAAATGATGATGGAAAGTTCCTTCTTGCTGCCAAGAGGTTTCGGAGGCCTACTTGCACTGACTACATCATCTCCTTAAACTCCGATGATGTCTCGAGAGGAAGCAATACCTATATCGGAAAGCTAAGGTACTTAGCTACAGGCTGAGCCCATGGTTTAAATGCCTCATTTTTCATTTACTGGCCATAACCTTCTCGTTTCTAAATTTCTTTCAGATCTAACTTTCTGGGAACCAAGTTCACTGTCTATGATGCTCAGCCGACGAATCCTGGAGCTCAAGTTACCAGAACCCGTTCAAGCAGACTTCTCAGTTTGAAACAAGTGAGCCCAAGAATTCCATCTGGCAACTTCCCTGTAGCACATATCTCATATGAGCTTAACGTCTTGGGTTCCAGGTGATTTATCTCCTTGCTTACAGATAAATTGTGAGAGAAAAAGATAATCGCTTTTATGGTTTTTTTGCTAATTGTGAACATTGTCGTATCAAACCAGAGGACCGAGGAGGATGCAGTGTGTCATGGATGCCATCCCTGCGTCTGCAGTAGAACCTGGAGGAACAGCTCCAACTCAGACGGAACTTGTCCATAGCAATCTTGATAGTTTCCCCTCTTTCTCCTTCTTCAGGTCGAAATCAATTCGTGCAGAGAGTCTCTCTTCTGGTCCATCGTCTGCTGCTCAGAAGGAAGGACTGCTTGTCCTGAAGAACAAAGCGCCTAGATGGCACGAACAGCTCCAGTGCTGGTGCCTCAACTTCAATGGGAGAGTCACTGTTGCGTCCGTAAAAAACTTTCAGCTTGTAGCTGCTCCTTTGAATGGACCTGCAGGACCTGAGCATGAAAACGTGATTCTCCAGTTCGGGAAAGTCGGTAAAGATGTGTTCACAATGGACTATCAGTACCCTATCTCTGCCTTCCAGGCCTTCACCATTTGCCTTAGCAGTTTCGACACCAAGATAGCATGTGAATGATTTCAACAACCCGGGTTAACTCTGTGTTTATTTAGTTGTATCATGTTGAAAGAGAAGACTGGTGTGGCCTCGTCTTAGAAGTGTGTGTACATAGTTTCAAAAGTCTTGGCAAGTCCATACAAAGAGAGAGTCAAAAATCGAAGACAGTAGATTGTGTTTGTTGTTGTTGCGTTGTGTTGTTTGTTAGCGATTGTAGTTCCAGACTATGATATAATTTCTCTGATAATTAAATTGATCATTTCTTTTTGAGAGTATATATCCAGACAACGCAGAAATTCAGATATTTGAAGTATCTGAATACGTCTATGAGATTGAATTTGACAAACAAGTTATTATTTATAATGTAGCCAGATGCGATCAGTAATAGGGAGGAAGAAGTGGCGGTCCTTGTGGTGGTGGTCCTCCAAAGCAATCTCGTAGCAGCCAGCAGCAGCACAGACAAGATAGGCTGCAAGATTCTACAGTCAGAGTAACATCTTTACTTTCTGAAAATACAGGACAAAACAATCAAGCAGAAAATGTCTTTACCAGGAACATATCATGTCTGAAAACCCAGAAAAGAAACCGCCAATGGGTGGCAAGAACCCAGGCCCTCCGGGTGGCAAGAACCCCGGTCCTCCCGGTGGCAAGAACCCTGGTCCTCCGGGTCCACCAGGTCCACCAGGTCCTCCAGGTCCACCAGGTCCCATGGCAGATCTCTCAACAGTGTGGTCAAGATGTGTCTTAAGGGATTCAGCACTCTTGTACGAAGACATGAGAATAAACAGAGGAGGGTTGTTATATAGCAGCAGTTGGTAAGGGCCTAATCTTCAAAGAAAACAAAGAGTTGACGAAGAAGGAGAGATGCAACATTGCTTCAAAGCTGTAACTACTATTCCTCTCATTGTTCACCAAATGTTCAAATCCGAAAATGTGACATTGTAAAAGTTAACTCTCAACAAATAAAAGGATTCAAATTGAGTAGAACAAGAACTACTAGTATATTGCATCTTCTGCTGCTTGTATATAATAAGTGTTATCAGTATGAAACAACATGTGGAGGTTGAAACATACCCTAAACCCTAGGAATCGGAAGAAAAACGAATGGGTTCAAGAAAAAGAGATACAATCCATTATGTCATGTGTTTGAAACATGCGTTTTCTCAAAGTGATTAAATAATATGAGATTGGGGTCAAATATACAGTGGTAGGTAACTCCTAAAGCTTAGAATACAAAAACATCATCTGATCATAGACAGTGATAATGATTCGATTAATACAAAAGATCGATTTTGACTATCTTCAGAAGGAATTGGAGAGCACATCATGGATCTGCAGCCTTGGCGAAACGTCCCCTGATTCTTGTCCTGCTTTCTGCACGAACCTTGCGTGATTCATACCTGATGTGTTTCTCGTACCTGTTTGTTTCATCTAAGAGATGAAATAAAAATGCCAATCTTAACCTGTTTTATGGATGATTGAGGCTTGTTTTGTTTTACCTTCGAGATTTCTTCTTTTCTTTGTAGCGAGAGAGAGCAGAGTTCCTCTCAAGACTGTTGATCTCCCTCGTAGTGGTGCAAAGTGGCACCACCACGTTATCTTCCTCGGGTCGGTTAAAGCAGTCAGAAACGGGAACCATCACCGAAGAGTTTCGGTCAACGTTCTCATGTTTCTCATCTGACTCTGACAAGTTTCTCAGCAGAGAGCAATATGGAAAGTCCTCATCTTGCTGATCGAAATCGAACCATTTCAGTCCACTCTCCTTTGGGAAGAGATTTGAGTAATTGACAAGCTTATCACAACAACAAACAACAAACAGCCACAAGAAGAAGAAAGAGAAGAAGAACTCGAATGCTTACCAGCTCGCATGTAGGAAACAAATCCGGCGCCAGGAACTGGAATCCGGCATCGATCTCAGCATCTGTCGCTTCGAATTTCAGACAACTCGGCTCGGATCTAGCCAGTCCACGGAGCTGTCGGATCATCTCATCTTTGTATTTCCCGCAGGTGGCGTGGCGATTCTGAAGAAAGAAAAAACAGAGTTGGCTTGGAAAAAACAGAGCAGCTTTTATATATATATATATATATTATAAAAAAAAAAAAAACCACAGACAGACCTTAGGCAGAGGAGGAACGTCGGTAGCACGGAAATGATGAGTAGCAGACCCGCCTGAAGCAACCAGGTCACTGAGGCTGAGGATCTCCGGCGGAGCCTGATCCAAAAGCAAGCCGGAATCGGGGGCGAGGTCATCGAGTCCGAGGATTGCCAAAAACTCGGGGACGGAGGGACAGCCGGAAAAGCCTTCGAAAGGACGCCGGGAGTGAAGGGAGGTGGAAGTGTGGTGCTGCCAATCGCAGTTCTGGCAAAGGACAGACCTTTCGGTGTCGCAGAAAAGGGAAGAGGGAGAGTCGTGACAGGAGTCGCAGAGAAGTGACCTGAAGTGTTTGGCGAAGAGTTGGTTGGCGGCGTGGACTTGCTTGTCGCAGGCGAGACAGAGCTTGGCGGAGTCAGCTTTGCAGTAGACAAGAGCCACGGAGGAGTCGCAGTAGTCGCAGAGGCGGTGACGACGACCTTCTTCTTTATCCTCCATGGACGCCGACAGTTTCAGGTAAGTAAGCTAGGGATGAATCTTTTAGGATATTTCTTTTCTCTTTTTTTTTTTTTTTAGGGGTAGGGGAAAACAAAACCATAAGTATTGGTGGTGCCTGGCTACCCTTTATTATACAGTATGTCTATATGTGTTTATTATGTAAAAGGCCATGTGTTCACGATGACGTTAAAAGTGATGTATTATAAGACAAGGTCAGAAAAATATCTTCTTCTTCTTTCTTTTTTTCCCCCATTTTCTAAATGTCTTAATTTTAATTTCTTGGGGAAGAAGCTCTGAAACTGTCCATCATAGTAAAGAGAGACACACTCTCTCCTCGATCTCGATGATGGCACCACACCACCTCTCAGCCTCTTTACCTTTCCCGTGCCTCTTGCATTTAAATTTGGTTCCCTTTTATTAAAAATATTGACTCCTGAAAATGAATTAGTAATACATAGCATAGCACGAGAATGCTGCATGCTTTCCAGATCAGGAGTTGCATTACTTAACCTCTTTGTTCTTTCTTTTTCTTTTATAGGAGTACATTTTTTTTTTATATATAAAAACACTTGTTAATAGTAAGTGGACGTACGCGGGGGCGGACCCACAGCCAATGTGATGGGGGCAGCTGCCACCAGCAAAAAAAAAAAAAAAAAAAATTATTAAAAAATTATTAGAAAACAAAATCTGTTCGTACCAAAAAAAACTAGTTTTCATCCTTTTTTCTTGGAAAGACCATTAATTCATGTACAAAAAAAAAAAATATTAATATATGAATTAAAGACTTACTAATTTAGACCTAATTTTTTGTTATTTTCTTCTTTTTTAGTCTTTTGGTTTCTTTGTGTGACAACAAATCAACAACTATCAATTTGTGAGTTTATTTTTCTGCTTTTTTTACAATCGTTTTTATTATATAAGCATTATTTTTTAGTCAGTTAATTTTATTTAATCAGTTCAATCTTATAACTATGTTTCCTGGAAAACATTATATATGTTTTTATGTTATACATGATTATATTAGTTTTTGCAGTGATAATTGTTTATATGTTTATTCTATGGTTAAGCTTTTATGGAAGTTTGTTACATAATTCAAAAATTTTAAATTAATAAATTTTTAAATATAAGTCTATAAATTCAAAATTTTCTAAATTTTTAATTTATAACATGTTTTTTTGTTTTTAATTATTTGAATCTGTCACAAATAAAAATGTGGTAAAAAGGTTTTAATTATTAAATGAGCGTCTTAGTGGTTTTGTAAGATGTTTTAAAGTTTTTACATGACAATTTTATGTCTGTTATAATTTAGTATTTGATAGTTTTTTTACTATATTTTTGCCCCCATTGAACAAATTTTCTAGATCCGCACCTGGACGTACGTACGATGTGGAGAAATTATAATTGATGGAGTGACCACCGTCGGTCACGTGGAAGTAGAGTCTATAAACACAAGTACAAACTGAACTAAGGGTACCTGACCACCGTTGAACTGATCCATGTCGACTTTTCAAATTGGTTTTCACTGTAAAATTAAGAAATATATGCATATAAATAGAGGGGTGGGTATATTTAATCATCATTCATATGAACAGTTACGATAAGAAAATTCAATCTTGATGTATGTACCGTACGTAAACGTGATAGACAATAGCTACACACATGACTGGATAGACTGACAACCTAACAGATCAATCAATATTTTTTACTTCACAGTATCATATTCATATATCTATATACATTTATCTATCATCAGATAACACATGTTGGCTGCCACGTAGTATATACAAATCACTAGTAACTGGTGGGTTTAATTAATCTTAAATCTAACAAAACAAAATAAATAAAAAAGAATGGGTTGATCAAAGAGAAAGAGTAATCGAAGTTGGCCACAATAATAATAATAATAATTAAACTTTGATTAGAATAAAAGTAGAAAAATCTATACAAGTGCCAGAAAAGAGAGGTGACGTGGCTAATTAGGGACGTTAGAAGAAAAAGGGAAGCTCTGCTTTGTTGTGAACTGTTTGTTTGTTTGTTTGTTTGTTTGCAGTGAATTCTTATTTTTATATAATAAAAACAGACAAAATAAATCTTTAGAGGAAAGACTTTGTCACGTTACCGACGTATATTATTATTTATTATTTTTGTATAAAGCTAGAATGCTCGAAAGTGTCTTTCCTTCTTTAACTATTTTTATAAACAAAACAAAAAAAAGATTAACCAAAGTTCTAGACAAAGGGAAATGGATCCCACAGTTAATTAATTTTAGTTTTAAGATAATAAAATCCAAAACACGATTGATTGAAAATTGATAACTTCATCATTCAGGTAGGTAGGTAGGTAGTTTAAATTGGTTTGTCATTTTAGAGTTATCTCGAACTTAACTTTAATCATGCATGATGCACAATTTAAGGACGATCGAGATGCGACCAAAAGAAAAAGAAAAACAAATAAAAGTAGAAAGGACGAGATTAGATATATAAGCTTGTAATGCTAGAGATGTAATTTGAACATCCCAGCCGATATTTGTTAACGACATGCCTGATCGATCAGTACTGATCCCTATGACTCTCTGTCTCTCTCTCTCTCTATATATATCGATCCTTCATCAGGACAACTACGTACTTTACTGGCCTGCTCTGTCTAGTTATGGTTGCTTTTGCATCCTTGTTTACTGCATCCACCTGTCTCTTTTAGGTAAACTGTTTGTATTACCTTTTCTTCAATTTATATGATATTTACAAGTTAGCCAAAAAAAAAAAAACCATACTGATTTTGTAACCACTGGATTACTGGATCTAACTATATATAAATGTTTATCAGCGAATTAGGTTTATTATATGTTTGTCAAAACAGCTGACATGTATATATTTTAACGAGAAAAGAGAAAAAAAAAACTATGATGCATGTATGCCTTGAACGATTTAAAAGAAATTTCTAAAAGAAGTAAAGACATCTTTATTGCTAGTATCTTAGGGGTTAAGATGGTTTAAGAACACAACATGTTACTTCACTTAATTTTTGTCTATTTTAAAAGTATCTAAGAATTAAATAACAGAGTCTAATTCAATTAATATATAAACATCATAAATCAATACACAATTATAAATTAATTACTGAAACTGGATGTTGTAGCGTACGTACCATTCCATATTGTTGAGTTTCAATGTTACTCGCATGAAATTCAGTTCGTTCCCTATTTGTTCCGAACAAATGGTCCACTCAATTTGTTCTAATTAAGTAATCATCGATCGATCTAGATTCTTGATATTTTCCTTGGATACGAATCTTGAGCCTATAGGAGGATGCGTTCATCACGCGCCCGTCGACGAATCTTGAATCTCATTATAAGTTATGACAATTACAACAAATTAAAGTGAATGTGGTTCTTAGTTATATACTTCAATTCTTACACGTACGTCTGTCTATACATAACTTCCGATTAGATTCTCCCAATTCCCACGATCCCAAGAAGTTGGAGGTCCACAAAAGTTGTTCCACCCATCTTGTAAATAAAGAGATTCTACGTACCTTTATTATATATCTCCTTTTGGACCTTTTGAACTCAATATATAGAACCATTTATTCATTCATTCAACAAACCTTAAAGGTATCGAGGCTTTTAATTTACACGCTTTTCATTTGAGAATTTTTCAAGTAGTTGATTTGGGTAACTTTCAGAGGGAAATTCCCATATTCTAATATATGAATGGTTAACTAACAGATGAATGCATGCGAGGCTCAAATCCATAATGTAGTTATTATTAGATTGTGGGCTTCCAACCTAAAACCAATTGGCGATGAGTGGAGAGGCCCATATCTTATATATACCTAGAGAGGCCCATATCTTATATATACCACTTAAGATCCTACTCAACTTCCAATGTGGGATATTTATCCCTAATACGCCCCCTCGAGATGATGGTTCTTTTAACCATAAATCTCGATATGTTTGGGCATGAATCGGTGGGCCAACTATGAGCCAGACCACTTAAGATCCTACTCAATTTCCAATGTGGGATATTTATCCCTAATAGTTATTAGTATACTGTGTACGTGGTTAAAACATGTACGTACGATTTGATATCTACAATACAGTTACAATCATCAATCTCAAGTAGCAAAAAGTGGAACTATGAAGAATTGTATGCTGCGTTATCTATAAAGCTGAAAGGATCGTTTATGTTCTCTATATAACAACTATTCCATATTTCGTTTCGTTTGTAACTTTTTAATTTTTTTTCCCACCACTGCATTTTATATTTATTATAATTTGCTATACCAGTTTATATATATAGGCAGCAAGGGTAGCAGCTAACGAAAAAAGAATAAAAAAGAATCATATTGAGAAAAAAAATTGTACGTTAACTCGTGCATTGTATACGTACTATATGCACTAGAAATTAAATTGTGCGTTTGTAGTAGTTATTTTAAATTAGTTGTATAAAGAAATTAAAAGGTAAAAATAGATTTATACAACGTAAAAAAAAAATGAATACAACGTGAAGATACTGATCAAGGTCAAGAATATAAGAAAGGGAAAAAGTTCAATGATTTATTAGTGTAGCCATGCATGATGATATATACTTTTGGACCCCGAAAGATCTTCTAATATTCTCTTCCTCTAACTGCTTTAATCGCCTAATTAATAAAGCCATCTGTGATCTTTATTATTATCATTATTTCTTTTGCATGTTTAATTACTGATTTTTCATTTTCGGTGGTGTAGTAGACTCAGAGTAATATTTGTTCACATTTAATATATATGTTCCAATGGGAAGTGGCAAACGAAACAAAACATTGTCCGTGAATATACAAAAACAGTAGCTACGCATATCGATCGACTGATATAATCTTACCATTGGTATATCTACCTATCAGACAGATCTTAATATATGACCGACTAAGTTATATAACTTAATAATTAGAAGAAGAGTTCATTGATGCATGTGGTTACCGGTTAATTAGCAAGTTAAAAGTAATGAAAAAGTGCGGTTTTGATATTTTGAGAATCTCTTATTTACAAGTTTTTTTTTTCTTTTTCTTTTCCCTTTAAAAACCCTAATCACCTGCTTAATCAACATAAGTTACGAAGAAAAGTCACGTTTTCATATATATGAATTATATATATACCCTCAGCTAGCTGGTACATGAATATGTCAAAACCAGAAAATGGTTTGTTTGCAGACTCTTCTGATATACCATACGTTTAACCCAATTAAAGAAGTAGAAAACGTTTTCCTTGTCTTACAACTTATATATAAATTGGAAAGGCCTGATTAAGTTGGTTAATCAACACGTACGTACAAGATATATATATATATATCGTTCTAATTAACATACGGAAAAAAATCAAGAAAACAATAGTTTTTTCATTAGCATAAACAGAGAGTTATACATCAACATACAATAGATAAACTGAAACAGCGAAAGAAGAGATATATATGATAGACATTGCAGACGAAGTCCTCGTCGAACATCTAGCTAGCTATAGTGTATTGAGCTCACACTCTAGCTGTAACCGTGTTTATTCTCACTAGCTATATAATAATAATAATAAGCGTTTAATTTAGATTATTGAGTTGGTTTAGTACGTAGTCCTCTAGCTAGCTAGTAAAGGATGGACTGATAGGGTTTGATCAAGGGGACGAGAGAGCCACTAAGGTGAAGGGACATGACTTCATTGGTAGACCCAATGAGCTTGCCTCCGACGAAGACAGCTGGAACCGCCGTGGAGCAGCCGAGACGGAGGAGAGCCTTCTCGATCTCACGGCAGTCGGGGTCGTTGTCGATCTCGTGGATGGTTGGTTGAACCCTAAGGTCACGGAAAAGGATCTGAACGGCGTAGCAGAGACAACATGAGCTCTTCGTGAAGATGACCACTCCTTTCTCCGAAGACATTCTCATCACTCTGTCCATGATCTGATCCTCACAAAAGACTGAAATGGCCAGGGCTTAAATTTTTTAGCTTTTTTTTTATGTATATATGTTTGGTTTTGGCTTGAGTATATGTAGAAAAGCTTTGAGATCAGCTTGGCTCTTTATAGAAAAGGGGTGATCGAGTGAGTGAGTCTCTCTCTCCCCCTTTTTTTTTGGTTACAAATAAAATATCAAAAAGGAAAGTTAAAATATCAGATGCCCACAAAATGACGGCTATTATAGAATGTAATTAACAGATATATATATGGAATGTAATTAACAGATCGAACATGTACGTAGGTCAATTATATTATTATTTTGCAACGAAATTAGTGTAACTTTGCTTGTGCGTTTCTAGTATAATAAATTCACGTACACTTCATTTCAATATTGTATGTATATTATGCTACATCAAGACAGCTCCACGCGCGGTGGTTCATAATATATATTGCTTCTAATTGTAAGCATTTGCATCCTAAACATGGACTATATTTATTTGAACATTAAACCCAAAAAAAAAATTGGACTATATTTGCATGACCATATATGTAAGTTAAAACTTATCAAATCTGATGATTTTTTTTTAAAAAATGTCTTAAAGTTATGAGTAAACGACTTTATTTCAAATAAATTTTGTAGTTAGGAAATTTTGTACAAATTAATTAAGCCTACATATACGGCAGAAAAACAAAGGAAAGAGATGGAGAGAGAGAGAGAGTTGTCAATTTTTGTAATCTAACGGATTCTCTTAACATATCTGCTTTGATTGTATCATTGCGTCGTCAAAGGCCCCCGCGAAAAAGGTATCGGAAGCTTTCGGTGACAAACAAGATGCATTTATATAGTTGATTCCGCCAACACCAACTTGCCAAAATATGTATATGTATTCTTAGTTTCTCTCAAACTTAATAATATAAAATTACGCTGAAGTTAAAGTTTGATATATATATATATAATACCAGAAATTTTATTTTAAAAAATAATATAAAATTACGCTGAAGATATTTGTATTCTCTTCGTTCGAAACTATCTATAATAATGCGATTAATGTCTCGATCGATCTCCTGCCAGACGCACGTACGTCATGCGTTGTTGTTATTCGTCGGCTGCTTCATTCCTAATTATATGTACTTCATACGTACGTGCTGCTGATGATGATGATGATGACGCTGAACGAGCCGCTCGATCAGCCCCGCGCGCATGTGATGGATTTTGGATAAACAAACAATTATATTTATGTTCATTAAATATCTTTCATTACAATTTCACGATACCTACTCGGTGATCCAACGACGTGGGTGGCAACACACAGGACCGGTCATGCCATAAAATTCTCCTTCTTTTTATCTTTTTCCTCTGACCAGAACCATATATATCACAACTATACCGTTAACATTCTCTCTGTATGTGACAGAATTAGGCCCAACAATACAATTATCGCCAATTATACTGGGCCGTGAGCCCAATAGTAATATTTTGGCCAACTTTGTAGAAATTCTTTTTTTTTTTTTTTGCTGAGCAAAGAAATAAAAAATTTTACTACTTGCCCCATTGCGCAGGAGGAGGAGCTGAGACAAAAGAAGAGAGGAGGGTACAAATATTGTTCCTTTTATGGTCTTGATCCATCAACAACGACAAAGGCTATATATATATATATATATATATATATACAAGCAAAGCTTCCAAACTCCGGAAGATTTATTTGACTCTAATTCGAAAACTAGTAGAATCTGTAAATTACAAATTTACACATTCAAATTCAGCTTAAAAGAAAGATTACACCCCAAACAAGAAAGAAAGAAAAACAAAGAGAGAAAGAAAGCAAATATTTAGAAACTAAAAAATAAAAAATCAAGAAACAGAGTGACATCTCCTCTTCTGAAACATGAATCGTCTTTCGGAATTAGTTTTCTCCTCCGTAAGCTTACCGTTACCAGCACTAGTTTGGCTGCTCCTGAATCTTAAAACCATAGCGTTCAACTTGTTCAGACCTCTAGAGAGCTTCCTCAACATTCCATAACTGCGCCTTCTCCGGCTGGGCTTTACCAAGTCTCTCTTCATCGAAACATGATCCTTCTCCAGGTCCGTTAGCCTCATCCTCATCCTGGCCACCTCCAGTCTCAGCTCTCTGTTCTCTCTTCTCACTGACGCGTAGTTGTCCCGTGGCGAGATCGCTCCGCTTGCCATCCCGCTTCCCGAGCGGTTTTGAAGCAAGAAGAACTGGCTTTGGCTCGAACCCCCTGTGCCACCGCTGGTCATGGCGTTCTTGAGCCGCGTCTGTTCGTAGAACAAGACTTGAACCGCAATCTGAACAGGAAGCCTCTCATTTTGAGCCGCGTGGCTGCTTGCCTCCTGCGACAGTCTCTGACAGCTGATTGTCTTGCAGAGACGGTACCGCTCTGAATCTTTCATGTGGGGATGAACCTAATCCAACCAAAACAGAGCAATCAAAACATTTTTCAAAATATTTCTGAAAAAGGATATTCCTTTTTTTTTTCTTTCTTTCTCTTGGGAGATGGTGGTGTGAACCTTGAGGAAGATGTCAACGGCTCGGTAGAGGCCATCGCAGACGGCGCGAGCATGGTCAGGGAGAAGCTCTGCGAGAGCTATGAACTTCGAGGGAGGGAGGCTCGAGTCGAGAGCCACCTCAGCGAGATAACTGTCCATCAGCTTCGACACCTTGAAGATGGAGCTCTGTTTCGGGGACTCTGGCCCGTCGAAATCGTACATGGCCATCTCGCTCTCGTCCACCACGTTTCCACGGTCGTCCTCGTCGTCTCTGTAGTCGCACTCATCAAGATTCAGGAACAAGGAGAAGATTCGCTGCACTGAATCGGTGTCGTACATGGCGCCAATGTTGGCCGGAATGAGGATGTCCTCAAGGATGGCCTGGTCGAGCTGGTGGCTGATCCGTCGCTCCAGATCCGATCTGCAAGAGACGGAGGTTCCAGATCCTATAGCAGTCTTCAAGAGGCTGGAGAGGAAGGAGATAGGGATGGAGCCTTTGTTGGCCTGCGTAGGGAGGAGCCCCACGACAGCTTCCAGGACGATTCGCTGTTTCCTCTGCAGATCGGAGTCTGATTTGACGAGATTAGGTTCTCTGATGATTTGCAGTGATTTGCGAGCGTAACTCATAAGGATCTCACTGATAATATCCTGATTGAGACCTTTGGATTTCATGGCGGAGACAACTCTCTGGAAGAAGTCGAGCTTGAGGATTGGCAGAGAGCGTCCCCACCAATCACACGGCTTCTCCGTCTCCGTCTCCGGCAATCTCACGGCGCATCCACCGAACTTCTGATCAAGCTTGAGCAAACCAGAGGCTAGCTGTTCTTTGCAAGCGTTTACAGCGATTGCGTTCACGAGCCTCCCGACGAGGTTGATCTCTTCAGCTACAGGGAGCAGCCTCTCGCAGGAGTGAAGAGCACTTATCGAATTCGAAATGTCGTTAAAAATGGAGTCTTTAAGGTAGGCCTCTGTTCTCGCCTCCAGGTTCTTGTCCGACAAATCTTCGTTCATCTCTAGGTAATGAGCAACGCATCGCAACGCTGCGATGTTCGACGAGTTGAACTGAACGCCAACGCCGTAGCAGAACTTTGCTGCGAGTTCGAACGATTCTGACCCGCCGGGGACAGTTGGTAGGTTCAGGTTCGTGTCTTTTGATTCCAGGACAAGTTTCCGGATTCTTCCACTCCGAGAGACGAGAGGAAACTGAGAGACAAGGAAGACTTGTGGTTAAAGAGCTTTTCATCTTCTTCTTAGAGTGCTGGCGAGCTTAGAGCTAGAATTAAAAGTTTACCTTGTGGAGAGAAAAGCTGGCAGAGCCTACTTCGATGGTTAAGTCACTCGTAACGTCCGAGACCGGCCTAGAAATTAGAAGCAGGGGAGACAAGGAAAGGGTGAAATTTTGAAAGCAAAAGATTAAAATTGATGCGCAAGAAAGAAAGGAGATGAGATGAGACTGAGTAGGGAACCATTGAGGAGGAGTGTGTCTGATACTTGAACTTGGACGAAAGGCTCTTTTCCCGGATACACTTTGCTTCGACTCAGGAATAGTAACAACACCCATTTAGGATCTCTTCTCCCCAAATAAAGTTGCAAACCTTTTGTGTTTTGTTTGTTTTGTTTTTGTTTTAGCAAATCCGATGTTACTGCAAAGACCTGCAAATATGTTTTTTTTTTTTTGTGTTTGCTAAGGATCAGAAAAATGTTCCTTACTGTCGGCTGCAAATGCTCTTTCTCTTGTCGTCTCTGCCTTTCAAATAAGAATGAAAAGATTTGTGCGGAGGAGTGAGTTAAGCAAAACAAAAATAAAACCACTTGAATTCATGCAGGATTAAAGCGAAATCATGACTTTTCTTCTTATAAATTAAACAGAGATACAGTATATAATTTTGCTGTGAAGTATCATATATAATAATATCTTAAAATAAATTAGGTGAATACAACTTTATCCTCCGGGAATTAGGACACTAATCTCGGTTGCTATAGGTTGTGTGAGTGAGTACATGATCTCAGCTCACAGTCACTGATAGAGTTTTCCTTCTTCAACTATATATATACCCCAGGTGGTGGTATCAACATTTTTTTTCTTACAAGATATCAACTTATTGGTCTGCGCATTGTCTGTAGTGTATATTGTTAGTGTATATGTTTCAATTTTTATTTTTCTAAATCACTATGTAGTAATTGAAAAGGAATATACTATTTACGTACTAGTCTAAGTTTAAAAGGAATATTATGAATGTAAGTTGTTGATTAACGTAAAAAGTCAATTAAGTGTGCTGTTTATTACTTATGCTTTTCGGTGAAAAAGTTTAAAAGGTTTCTTATCGTGTCTTTTATTTATACTCGGGATTTTTTTCCTTCTTTACAAAAAAAAAAAAAAAGAGTATAAAAACAATAAATTGCAGGAACTGTGAATGGGTTGCATTGCTTTTGGGGGTTGTAATCATACCTCTATGTTTTCTTTAAAAATTTATTTTCAAACCAGAGAAGAAAAAAGTAGCTTAAACGAGAACAAAAAAAAGAAAAAAAAAAACAAGAAAACTAAAATAGGTGTATCAGTAGAAAAATTTAAAGTAACGAAAAAAGAATGTTCGCCTAACTTTATAAAAAAAATAAAACGTTAATATTTGAGTTTAGTAAAAAATAATTTTGGTAAATATGTGATTTTGCTTTTGTTAAATCAATGTAATAATCACAAACAGATTACAAATTCGGGATTGTGCTTTGACACAATTCTATCCTTCCCAAGTATATGAGTAAAAACCACATCATAAAGAGCAAGTTTTCCACTTGGTTAGAAAGTCTACTACAACACGAATACTTTTTTACCACTACGGCAGATAGAAAGTATAGGACCATGCACATGAAATTGGGATACTAGTAGTAAAAATTCGCGTGTTTGATACACACTCCACTCCACTCCACAATTGACAAAAAGAAAAGTATATTGTGTGTGAGTGAGAGAGAGAGGCAGGTGGGGTGGGGAGGCAAACAAGAGCAAATGATGGCAAAAGTTTCTCTCTCTATTAAAATTGTGAGCGATGATGATGAAACCAAAGAAATGGTTTCGTTCTCAGGTAGGGTTTTCTCAAAGATTACTTCTTTCTTCCTTGTCCTTATAAAAAAATTCTTGAAACCATTTCTCATCATTTCTCTTTTCAATACCGCTTTCCCAAATGCTATGATCGATTCTAGGATTCGTGTGCTTTCCCTCATCTACTCTCAGCTCAACTTCCATTCCCAATATATGTATTTCGACCAGAAAAAAAAAGAAAAAGAAACAAGTAAAAATAAATAAAGATAGTAATAGCAGTACAAGGTTGTGGTGTCAACAACCTTCAAGGTTAGTCTTAAAATGTGGATTGTTGTTCCCTCACCATAATGTGTGAATCAGTAACATAACAAATTAACAACACACCACATAATTTGACTACAATAAAGAAGATACCTTAACACGATCAGTTTCACCAATTGCCAGAGTAAAAAAAAAGTAAAAGAAAATTCTAAAAAGAAGAAGAGAATCGAGAGTTCTTTTTCTCTTGTTTTTTTCTTTTTTGGGTTGTTCAGCCGCAATGGGTCTGAAGTAGAAGAAGTTCGGACAAGACAATGAAACCTTGTCTGTCTCTATACAATTACAAACATTATACACACAAACAAACAAACAAACAAAAAAAAAGGAAAGAAAGGAAAGAAAAGAAGAAGAGCCTTTTTTCTTGTTTTCTTTTGTCTTTGATATATGCACATATAGATTTCATCTTATATTATCTATATATATATATATATGTGATTCTCACTCAGGTCTTCTTCTCAAATAGGCTTTTTTTTTTTCTTTTTTTCTTTTTCTTTTCTAAGGTACGGAGAGACTATATAAATATATATATAGAAATTCACATCACATGCTTCTCTATAATAATGATATTAGATTTAAGAATTGCAAAAGGTGATCCAGAGGACTGAGTATGCGTACCCTTTTGTCCAAGCTTATCAATTCAAAAGGATCGACGGATTTCTCGTCCTTGTCTTGTGATTCTGCTACCTGTTAGAGGAAGTGATGTCTGGCTCGAGAGTTGCAGCTCAGAGAATGGAATTGAGCCACCACTCTGGGAGAAAATCAAACCTGCCGAGATGCTTGATGTGCTTCTTGAACTAGGCAAACCTGTCAAGTACGGATCTTTTGCACCCCCTGTTATGAGCTCTGTCGATGACGAAGAAGGGGCTGCTGCGAGACCGCCACCCAAGAGAGAGCTCACTGGGTAAGGAGCCACTGGTGCATCAGCCAGAGAGGATGCTGAAGGATTGTATCTGATGTTTCCCATTGGATGATCAAATTTACATGTTGACCCGAATTTACAGAAGCCGTTTTGCACATAGAACGTGCAGCGCTGCACACCCTGTTTTCCAACCCAAGATAAACTGATTTAGAGAGAAATGTTACTATGATCAAGCTCAGAGATAGCAACAGTCAAACGTGCATCCCATTACTCTATGCAGCAAACAACCCTTATGTTCAGAGAGAGAGAGCATACCGGGCGTAGAGGAAGACCAATGGGGCTCAAGATGCAATTTGCTCTTGGTGGAACCCGATCTCGAGGATGATGAAACTTACAAGATGTTCCAAACTTACAATCTCCTGTTTTCAAATAGTATTGACACTCCGGTTCACCGGGTCTCTCTGGGAAGGCTTGTTCTTTCTGTATAACACCTGTAGGAGAGGACAGAGATGGATAAACCCCGGGAAGCGAAGGAGTGGTGGAAGAGAGCTGTGTAACTCCATATAAAGAAGTTGCCCCAACAGCATGCTGGGCACCAGGAGATAGAGCAGGGCTCACAGGTGCCTGAATCAAAAGTAAAAGTGAGACAGAGAGAGAGAGAGAGAAATGTAGTGACGATATAACAATCTAAAAGGTTACCGAGTAAGGACTCCAGCCTGGAATGGGAACGACCCCTGGGGTAAGTAGCATTGGACCATAGGCGCCTTGCATGTAAGAACCAGGAAGAAGAGTTCTTGCAACTCTCAAGCTAGAGGATGGACCTCCATACTGATCAGGCATAAGTGACTGCACCGATGGATAAAACTGAGGTGCAGATGCTGGTGGTGGTGGGACAGTTGTACCAGCAGGCTGAGGATGATGAAATTTACAGGTTATACCAAATTTGCATTGCCCCGTTTTCAAATAGTAGGAGCATTCGTTCTCACCCTACAAACTCGACACGACTCTTAATTACATCTGTGCATAAACATGTAGAGACGAGTGAGTGAAAGAGGAGAACAAAGCTTTACCTCTCGCACAGGGTATCCATATATATTAAGTGGAACGTGGCTCATGGATCCACCTGCATTCTTCGGATGGTGGAATTTGCAAGACGCCCCAAATTTACAGGTTCCAGTTTTCAAATAAAACTGCAAAACATAGACCGGAGTTTACAATCAATAATGTTAAAAGAAACAACCTTGTGTACATTCCAAAAATGACAGGGTTATTACCTGGCATGGGGGTTCACCTATACGTTCTGGATACTGCCCTGTAGCTCTAACAGTTGCTTCAACCTAGTGCAATGCAAACTGTATTCTCAGAAAAACAGTACACTGTGGCCAAGCCAAGAGGAGAAATGAGAAGAGCATAAAAATCAAGCGCTACATTCATCACTAAGACCATGAAACCGAACACAAGAAACAAGAAAAGAGTGAGACTAAGGGGGAAAAAACAAAAACCCTGACTTAACGAATCAAGTTGTCCAGGTACTGAATAAAGTTGGAGATCACCCACATTACGGAAAAAAAGGTTTCCCAGTAAGGTATACAAGAGAGTTGAGAGAAAAAGGAAAACACAAAGGGAGATTAGTTGTACCGAGGCACGATCGCGAGGGTGGTTGTAACGACATCGATTACCGTAGCCGCAGACACCAGTGCGCATGTAGTAGGCACAGTCAGGAGCACCTGGTCTCTCCGGGTACGTCTCGCTACCCAGCCCTAATCGCCACATCGACTCTGCAAATTACAAAAGACAAAATCTCAGAAATCCCCAGGACAGAAGTTGTGGTTTTGGCAGAAACCCTAAAGAGTACGCATGCGAGTGAATGATGGAGAAGAAGAAGAGACCTTCGAGTCCGGTATCAGCATCAGCGGGGATCCAGTCGGGAGCTAGAGCAGATTGGGAGCCATTGATAGGCGGATTGCGAGCATAAAGGTCCATGGAAGGAGCAGAGAACACTTTTGCCTCTTTTTTAGGGATTTGGTGTACAGTAAATTTTTAGAAAAAAGAAAAGGGGTTAGTACAAGTCCTCAACTAAGAAGAAAATGGAAGAAATGTCAAAGGCTCATAGGGGGGAACGACGGAGATTATACCGGACAAGCAGATTCCAAAAGCCGAGAGATTACAACGGAACCTCGGAGAGCGAAAGAAGAAAAAAGGAAGGGAAAAAAAAAAAAGAAAGAAGAAGAAGAAGAAGAAGAAGAAGAGATGCTTCGACAGTGATTGAGAGAGAGCTTCTTTGGTCGGTTTCTCTCTCTCTCTCCTCTTTCGCTCTTGAGGAATACCGTACGGTCTGCCCTCTGCACTAGTGTTTCTTTTTTTAGCTTTCAATTTCTTCTTTAAAAAAAAAATAAAAAAAAATAATTTATACAAATTTTTATTAGTAATATATTACTAGTAATTTACAAATTTCTAATTAATAATTTTTTTTTGTTTTGTTTTGGTTGTAGTTGCTTTTTGGACTCTCTTGGTTTAGTTTGGGTGGTGGTGGTGCTTTGGGTCTCGCCTAAGTAAAAGCATCCCAGAAAAGAAAAAGGGAAACCAAAGAAACAAAGAAGAAAATAAATACTGATACACTTTGAGAAAACAACAAAAAAAAAAAACAAAGGAATTATTATTGTTTTTACACTACCCTCCCTAGACAGACTACTTCACTAGTACAGTTAAGTTAGTATTTGATTTCGCGAAATGACCAGAAGGCCCTCTGGGCGCGAGTGGCCAACAATTGTCACAAAAAGAAAGAAAAAAAAACGAGGATTTAGAACTCTGGTCCGGTCCGAAAGTGAGGGCACATCCGTCATTCCGTACCTAACCTACTTACTACTACTAGTCTCTCTGTTTCTCTCTCAACTCGCTCTGACTGAGTCGACTCACTTCAATCAATGAGAGAGATGCCTTCACATTTCTTCGTTTCCGCTTCCCATTTGTCGGCAATAATAATAATAATAATAATAAGAGTATAGAAATCACACCACACCTGACACGGTGACACCCCTCCCTCCCAAAATTGTTATTATTCATCTCTCTCTCTCTCTCTCTCTCTCATGTGTTTCTTCTAGTCTAGCTTAGTCCTCTCAATCATCAATCATCCTAATTTGATATTCTTGGCCTGCTGGATTCATCAAGCCCACTACTACCCATATATATATATATACAAAAAGCCCTTTTTCCATTTCGAAAACAAAATGGCGTCTCTGTGCCACCAAACCTTATTATCCCCGCCGCTTTGTAAGTTTTTGCTGTGCGACATTGGATTTGGCCCAATTAATCATTGGGCCTTCACTTATTCACTGGCGATCAAAAACGGTAAAATTTAATTGGTCCCTTACCGCCCTCGCGATCAGATTGGGGAAGTTGACCGGATTGCTCCGATCAGCCGTCAGCGGCGTCAACTGCTGCCTGGGAGTGGGGGGGGGGGGGGCAAAATGGGTTTCAGATTTCACATCTTGAATCCCATTTGTAGGTCGTCGTCTTCCCTTTCTAGATTGTCTTCCCGTCATCTTCAGCCACCACCACTCCTCCGCCTCTCTTCCTCCCTAAACCCTAGTTTCGATTTCTCCAGGAGGTGGCATTTTGGCCAC